TACCTTTGATGGAGGCGTCTAGTTCGGCTTGGTAGGGGGATGAACCAGAGACTGAAAAGGAAGACGCACGCACAAATCTGCCCTCATCATCTCGAAGAATCGCTGCACCACGTTTGGACCCAGAGGTGAAGGATGCATCAATGTTAAGCTTGAGGCGCCCCTTAGGAGGAGCTAACCACTTAACAACTCGAATTTTATGGGCCTTAGGGAAGAAAGGCAGTAACTTCTTCTCATTGAGCCAAGCATCTGCACCCTTAAGCTTTTTGGGAATTTTAGCAGCCAACCATTGCCTCACAAACATAGATATGGAATCAATGAGAGTTCTTGAGGAGAAATCAGTTTTACCTTCATGAATGATAGCATTAAGTTCCTTCCAGATATGCCAACAAATGATACCCGGGAGATGCATACGAAGAAATCCATAGATGTTGTTGCAATTTCCTCTAAGCCACCAATCCATGAAATGTTGATTGATGGAGGAGGAGAATCTGTGCAAGAAACCAAGGCAGGCAGAAAAATGTTTCCAAACTTCCTCAATCTGTGGACAGTCAAGAAACACATGTTTAGAGGCAAAGGAATCTGCCCTACAGAAGGGGCAAATAGAAGGCAGGTGGAATCCTAATCTTTGCAGATTTTCAGGAATAGGGAGGCAATGTTTGAAGAGTTTCCAAGTGAACACCCCAACCTTAGGAATCTGTGGTTTCATCCAAAGATATTTGAAAGAGGCCACAATGGGAGAAGAAGGCCTGCAAAAATCAAAGGCAGATTTGAGGGAAAAAGAACCATTTGCCTCAAGAGACCAAACCATTGATCCATCTTCATTGACGGCACAAGCATTAGAAGCAATTTCATCAATCCTAGAAATCCTCTTCCAGACTGGGGAATCAGTCAAGGCCTCCCAAATATCCCCCTCTCTCCAGTACTTGGACCTCATTAGCCTAGCCCAAAGACCATTGTCTTGGTGGAATTTCCACCAAAGTTTAAGGCTGAATGAGTCCTCCAGGCTTTTAAGATCTCTAATGCCAAGACCCCCCTCTTCCTTAGGGAAACAGAACTTCTCCCAACTAATCCAGTGATGTCTGTTACCACCACCCCACCAGAATCTGGCCATTTTCTGCTCAAGCAAATGAGAGATGGCCTTGGGAATGGTATTGACTCCCAAGAAATAGTTAGGAAGAGTGTTCAAAACATGCTTGATGAGCACCAAACGTCCAGCTTGATCCAAATTCTTCTGAAGCCAGCCATTTAATTTATTATCAAATGACGGGATGAGTTTGGAGCAGTGAATCTTCCTAGTAATCCCCAAATCATTAGGCACCCCAAGATAAGTAGCTAGTGAGTTGAGTTTTGTGCCAGTCATAAAGCTGCTTTTGCCATAATTAATGGTCTGCCCAGAGACCATCTGGTAGTCATGGAGAAATTTTTTGAGATTAAGGACAGACCTAGAATGTCCAGAGGTGAAAATTAAAATATCATCAGCATAAGACAGGTGGGAGATGGATATAGAAGTTCTGCCACAATTAAACCTGCCAATGAGCCCATTTTCAACCAATCTATTGAGATTTCTGGAAAACCCTTCATTAGCAATAATAAACAAGAGGGGAGATAGGGGATCACCCTGTTTAACTCCTCTAGATTGGCCAAAAAAACCACATGGTTTACCATTCAGTAGGACAGAAAATTTGGAGGAGGCAAGAAGATTATTAACCATGTAAATAAAATTGGAAGAAAATACCAAAAGACCTGAGAATATAAAAAAGATATGACCATTTAAGTTTGTCAAAGGCTTTAGCCATATCAAGCTTCACTATCAAGTTACCCCCATTAACCTTTCTATTAATATGCTGAACCATCTCCTTAGTGATAAGGATCTGATCCAGAATTTCCCTCCTTGGCACATAAGCAGCTTGCTCCTCTGAAATAATGAGAGGAAGTAAAGTACTGAGCCTGCTAGCAATGCATTTTGTAGCAATCTTAGAGGCTACAGTGGACAAGCATATAGGCCTAAAATCATTAAGCTTCCTAGCGTTATCCACCTTAGGAAGAAGACAAATGTTTGAGGAGGCTGCTGCTTGTGGTAGATGAAGGCAAAGAAAGACCTCTTGGCAGGCAGATACCACATCAGATTTAATGAAATCCCAGCAACTTCTGAAAAAAGTAATGTTGAAACCATCTGGGCCAGCTGCTGAATTAGGATCCATCTGCCAAATGATCTGTTTGATCTCTTCTTCAGTAGGAAGGCTCATAAGAAAATCATTATGCCCCTGGTCAATCAAAGAAGGAATGGTATCAAGAAACTGCCCATAGAGTTCTGGAGAACCAGAAGGTTCTGCTTGATTCAAGAGATTGGTGTAATGTTGAACAGCAAGAGCCTCTAATTCATCAGGTTTATCAATGATTTTTCCTTGATCATAAATAAGCAGATTAATTTGTTGCTGTCTTCTTCTATTCTTAACCAGATTATGAAAAAATTTGATATTAACATCACCATCTTGAAGCCATTTAAGATTACATTTCTGTTTCCAGAAAGCATATTCCCTATTGGTCATCTCTACAAGCTGGGCCATCTTCTGGTTATAAAGAGTTTTATTTTCAGAAGAGGGATTCTCTTCAAAAAGAATCTCAGCTTTGGATGCCTCCTCCTCTGCCTCTTTGACCATCTCAAAAATATTGCCAAATTGATCCTTGTTCCAAGCTGAGAGTTTGGCTTTGAGATGATGAAGTTTTTTGAACAGACAATGCATTGCTCCAAAGACAGGTACCTCCTCCCAACTGTCTTTGCAAAACTGTTAAAAATCACTCCTTAAAAGCCACATGTTCTGAAATTTAAATGACTTAGAGCTAACCCTATCACCAAGCTTGGAGCTGAAGAGAATAGGACAATGATCACTACCCCCTTTAGCAAGGTGATGCATAGACAAGATGTCCCAATGATCTGCCCAGCCAGTATTAAAGAAAACTCTATCAAGACGCCTCCAAATATTACCAGTGCTACGTACCCCATGCCATGTAAAAGCTGAAGCACTGAAATTGCATTCAAGAAGATTGCAGTTTGTGATGCAACTGTTGAAGTCATCAATGGCTTCAAGATCAGGTAACTTAGCCCATTTATGATGAAGGTCTGAAATGGAATTGAAGTCCCCACCAAGGCACCATGGAAGATGTGAATTAGTATTAAATGATTCAATAAGATCCCAAAGTAATTTCCTTTCAACAGTTGTATGACTCCCATAGATGCCACTAATGGTGAAGGTGAAATTGTTAAGAGTATCTCTCACTGTGAAATGAGCAATCTGACCAAAGTCTTTCACATCAATAACATCAAATTTGGCTTGGTCCCAAAGGAACCAAATTTTATTGTTTGCAACAGAATAAAAACCATTAAAACCATGCTTAAAAGCCAGGTTCTTATTCTTCTTAGCGATAACAATAGGCTCAATAAGAATACAAAAATCAATAGAATGGTGCTTAATTAAATATGAGAGTCTCTTGCACCTCTTAGAGATTCCCCTCACATTCCAGAAGAGAGTGCAGATCATTTTAGGGCTTGGAAAACCCCATCAACAGACCTTTTATAGTCTGAACGTGTCCTAATCCTCTTTGGTGAAGGAGAAGCAGAAGAGGAAGTTTTTTTAACAGGGATGTCCACTTGGAGATCACAAATAGGTAAATCACAGATCAGTTGCTCCATAGATGGAACTGAAGGAGAATTTGAAACCAAAACTTCATTGGCCAAGCCAAGTGAGATATTTTCAAAAGGGGTAGGCTCAACCGTAGGACTAGGCTCACAGGAAGAATAAGCAAGGCCATTATTGTCAAGAAAGAGCACTTCCTGTGACCCAATGAAATGAATCTGGGGCCTACGCTTAGCACCTGCTTTAGAAGTTTCCTCCTGACATGGCATGCATGGAGATGGAGCCTGCGACGTAGTGGACTTTTGGACCCACGTAACCTTCGGTTTTGATGAATTTTTATTACCCTTACGTTGAACAGTGGTCCAAGCATCCAACATCTCCTTTCCCTTATCCTTCATGGGAGGAACGGACTCCGCTACCAGCAACTTTTTCGGCAGCTTTTCCGGTAAACATGAAAGGGAAGAATGACCCAACCTATGACAAGAAGAGCAAAAAGATAGAGGATCTTCATAAATAACATGAAAGAAAAGGTCTTCCTCAACATGCTTAACATGTATACGCTGATGGAGTGTCTGGGAAACGTCCACTTCAATGCAAACCCTAGCCGCTTTAGGTCTAGCAAAGTTAAGGGTGGCATTATCAACTTTCAAGGGTTTACCCAACGCGGAGGTAATACAGAAAAGGGCCTTCTGGTTGTGTAGATGAATAGGAAGGTTAGGAATAGTAATCCAGACCAGAACAATCGGGGAGTCCTCCTCTGGACGTAAATTTGGAGACCATTTAGTCACTGTCATGATGTCCCTTCCAAGCGTCCAAGTTTTCCGGAGGAAGAAACGTTGATAATCTTCATCTTGCTCAAACCGTAAAGCCCCCAACGAGCCCTAGCCGGGTAAGAAAGTTCCTCACGACTGAAAGTGGAGGGCGATGTCTAAATCTGCCGATGAGGGCAAATCTGAACCGACGGGAGAAAAACTCTACATCTTCCTTAGAGAAAGAGATAGAAGGACAACCTTTGAAACTCGTTTTCTCCGGTGGCCGGTCCTTGATGACGGCACCAACCGTCTTGAAGAGATCGGAGAACAGTTTGGAACGAGTACCGGAAGCCTTGGCCGGAGACGCCGGAGAAGTCTCCGTGGATTTCGAGAGAGACAACATTTTCATATATATATATATATATATATATATATATATTGAAAATTTTATTTTGGTTTGTCATTTTAATTATGAAAATAATTATTTTGACATAAAATATTTAAAGTATATTTTTAAACTTGTTTAAAAATGATATTGATATTATATTTGATTTAAAATTAATTTTATATTAATTTTTGATGTTAAATAAATTACACTTCGAACATTTGAGTGGAGAAGAATTTCACAAATCCTTCTCATATCATTGTTCGGCCAAGTGGAGATTTATGGAATCAAATTTTCCTTTTGATTGATTCTGTTGGGTTAAGGAACCCAAGGATAGGGAAGAAGGAGAAGAGTGTGTGAGGAAGAAGATGATGAATAGTGGTAGCCTCCCTTTTTTCCCTCCCCTCTCCTCTTCCAAGAAGAGGAGTATAAATAGAGGAGCTAGGGTTAGGGTTTCGGATTAATGGGCTGGCCCAACAGACTGGGCCGCCCTAAATAACAAATATACGAATAATGGGCCGGCCCAACAGACTGGGTCGCCCATAAGTAAATAATTAATAAAGGACTAACGGGCCGGTCCAACAGACTAGACTGCCCCAACTAATATTATACAAAGTCCGGATACCCCATGTCCAGGGTATCCATCATGAGTCCACCACTTTCCAAGCCGAGAGGAACTCGAGGTGAAGTGGAAGTAGAGCAAAAATGCACCACGGAAGGACACCGTCTTCCTTACTGTCTAGAATGCACCGCCAACTCGCTGTCCCGAGCACGGTGAAGTAATGCAAGCAATGCCATCAGTCGGAGAATGTGATGCCAACTCGCTGTCCAGAGTAAGGCAAAGGGAAAGAATCTGCACCCATGGATATGAGGTACATTGCCGACAAGCTATCCAGAGCAGCAAAGTGAAAGGGTCTGCACCGATGAGTACGAGGTGCACCGCCGACTCGTTGTCTAGAGCGGCAAAGTAAAAGAAATTGTAGCACTGAGCACGATGTGCGCTACCGACTCGCTGTCCGGAGTGGCAGAGCGAAAGAAGCTACATCGATCAGCATGAAGTGCACTGCCGACTTGCTGTCCAAAGTGGCAAAGCAAGAGAAATTGCACCTGTGAGTGCTAGGTGCACTGCCGACTCGTTGTCCGGAGCGGCAATAACAAAGAAATTGCCTCCATGAGTACGAGGTGTACTGCCGACTCGCTGTCCAGAGTGGCAGAGTGACAGAAACTGTAGCAATGAGCGTGAAGTGTGCTGCCAACTCGCTGTCGGGAGTGGCAGATGCCAAATAAATTGCCTCCATGAGTACAAGGTGCACTGCCGACTCGTTGTCCGGAGCGGCAAGGTAGAAAAGTCTGCACTGATCTGCTCATTGTCTTGAAATGATCTGCCCTTGTACAAAGGGCATCATCTGTTCATTGTTCAACGCACAACGATCACAATAATAGTGGGTGATGGAGTCGTCATCTGCAGTCCATCTGTCGTCTTCAAGGATCCTCTCCAAACCCCGTCAATGTGTGGCTCACTCTATGGGGGATGCCTCATTAAAAACTTGCCGAGGAAAAAACCCATGAGGATGGGAAAAAATCCTCGGTCAAGAAAAGAGTACATCTCGTCCCACAAGGTGCATCAAGAGACATTGAAAAAGGGTGCGAGGTCTTCGAGTAAAGAAACTGTGTGAACTCGGAAGAGGCGCTCTTCGAGTCCCCCGGACTCGTTGTCTGGAGTCGAGGGCTGTTCGCCATATTGCCAAAGAGTGCACGCCGGCAAGAACTGCTACTGTGCCGTGTTAGATCAAGATGTTGATTTGCCAAACTTTCACGGTGTGCGGTGTAACAATCACGAACCGAGTACCCGGAGTCCCCCACTCCCTAAGCCGAGGAAGAATTCCGAGGTGAAAGGGAGTAGTGCCCATGCTCGGCTCCGGTGGGAGTCTGTAGTCCCCTCGCTCTGTGGCAACTTCCCTTCATATAATGATTTACATGAAAAAATCTCAAACAAATGCAAATAATGTGATGGGCTTGGCCGATCCTGGCGAGGCCGCCCATTCTATGAGCAATTAAAACTGCCCTAGAAAGTGGGCTAGGGGGTGTGCCTTGGACGGCATCGAAGAGTGCCTCGAGAAGAGGGCTAGGATGCCTCGTGGGATGAGGGCTTATATGCCTTGCTTGCGAGACGGTCAAGGCCAACCTCGGGAAAGCTGTTGAAGTCGTTTGGGAGGTAATTGTAGTGCCTCGTGAGGTGGCCGAGGCCGACCTCGGGAGAGGGCTTTTGGTTGCCTCGAGAGACGAGGGCTTAAATGCTTGCGAGGTGACTGGGGCCGACCTCGAGAAAAGAGTCAAGTGCCTCGCGAGGTGGATGGGACCAACCCCGGGAGAGGACTTTGGGATGCCTCAGGAAACGAGGACTTAAGTGCCTTGCGAGGTGGATGGGGCCAACCTCGGGGAAGGACTTTTTGGTGCCTCGGGAGACGAGGGCTTAGGTGTTTTGCGAGGTGGTTGAGACCGACCTCGGGAAGAATATGAAGTGCCTCGTGAGGTGGATAGGACTGACCTCGGGAGAGGGCTTTTGGGTGCCTCGGGAGATGAGGACTTAAACAACTTGTGAGGTGGCTAAGGCCGACCTCGAGAAAAGAGTCGAGTGCCTCGTGAGGTGGATGAGACCGACCTCGGGAGAGGACTTTTAATTGCCTTGGGAGACAAGGGCTTGAGTGCCTCGTGAGGTGGATGGGACCGACCTCGGGGGAGGGCTTTTTGGTGCCTCGGGAGACGAGGGCTTGAAATACTAGCAAGGTGGCCGAGGCCGACCTCGATCGGGAAAAAGTTGATTGCCTCGTGAGGTGGCTAGGGTCGACCTCGGGAGAGGGCTTTTGGTTGCCTCGATAGAGGACTTAAGTGCCTCATGAGGTGGACGGGGCTGACCTCGGGAGAGGGCTTTTGGGTGCCTCGGGAGACGAGGGCTTAAATTCTTTGCGAGGCGGCTAAGACCGACCTCGGGAAATGAGTGAAATCATGTGCCATTCGTGAGCTCTGCTAGGCGGGCTCGGTTGCAAATGTCATGTGGTCTTCCGCTTTGTACCTGAAAGACAAAATATGAAAAATTCCTTTGTTGTTGTTGCTTTGTTAGTTTTTTCTTTTGAGCGGCGTGGAGCCGATGACGCGTGGTAGCGTAGAAGTGCGATCTCAGCAGATCTAATATTTGTCCTAAGCAGGACTGGCAAGATTTTGTCCTAAGCAGGACCTTGCGATACCCTCCGAAGGGATTTGCTCGCGCAATGACGAGGACCACGTGAGGCCATATCGTGGCGTGGAAGCCCGATGATGCACAGCTGCATAAAGTCGCGTAGAAGCGAACATGAAATCGCGTGGAAGCGATATTTTTTTTTTACTATTTTTCTTTTTCTCTTTTTTTTGGACGAAATACCAAAGTCGTAGAAGCAGTTGTGGCATAGATCTGAGTAGGGATCATTCGGATAAGAACTTGGTGCATATTTGAACTAAATCGTGAAGGCTGGTCGCCTCCCAGTGAGATCAGAAGAGATGGAGATCATCATACTTGGATATCAATGAAGAGAAAACCAAAATAAACTTCACAAGGCCCCTCAAGTTATTTTGAATCAGAACAGCACCCAGCCGAACATAGTACACTCGGCATCAGCAGACTCGGCCGGCTAAGATCACCATCGCCGAACGGGATCTTACAACACTGCCACACGAACCTTGCTTGTCATGATCTTGCACTCGGACTCGGTCACCCTCCCATGCTCGGATTGAACCCCACTAGAAATTATGAGCTCGGCCTTTGGGCTTGTCACACACTCAGCCGTATGAGATTTTGACTCAAATGCATAAGAGAGAGGGTGAAAAACAGTCTTCTCAGAAACATTATTAGTGGAGCTAATAATGTTTTGTCATTTAGTTAATGACAAAGTCAAATTAATCATTTTTCTTCCTTATAATTGGCACGCCACTTTGTAAAAAGATGAGGAGAGTTTGGGCTATTGTTTAAGAGTGTATTTTCGTCCATTATTTCCTAGTGAGAGAAAATATATTATTGTGTTCCATTAATATCATTTTGTGTATAGAAAATTTCTATAATATTTTCTAAATACTATTAGAAATTTTTTCTATAGAAATATACAAGATTATTTTTATCCCAATTTTAATCTTTATATTTTATACTACTATAATCTTTACTAGCATAAAGATTGCAGTCGACCCCAGCGTTGTTCGTGTGTCAAAGTTGGAGACCGGACGCTTGAACGATTACGTTTGCATTTTCAACTCTCTTCCTACGACTTCTTCGTTTTTATCACTTACAGAGAAAGGTATAAATTTCTTATTTACTATAAGTTTTAGTACGTGATTCTGAGCAAAATAATCATGTTAAGATGTTAAAAATTTTATATTCCGCTACCTATCCTTGCATGCTTACCTTTCAAGATACTCTTGCCACAATCGTGATACATATAGACTCTGAACCTAACCTTTGAGAAAAAGGGTAGTTATCCCCAGTCGAAATTTGTATAGAAAAGATGGATTCGGTTTATGTTGAAACACGGGCATGTCATGTTTTCGTACTAAAGCCGTGTTTACTTTTATGACAGGTTTTGATAATGCAAAACCGCCGTGATCAAGTCAAACATTGAATATACAAGGCGAAGAAGGAAGACAAGAACAAGAGCTAAAAGAAGACCAAGAACGAAGACCTTAGTCTTAGTGTCGTTGAGTCGGTCTTCATTGTGATCAAGACCGACCCAATCTTTACACCTTGGCTCTTTAGGCTAAAATCCTTCATTACATTTCTTAAATCATAAAAATGTTTTTCAAACATGTTTAAGTCATTAAAAACACTTGGTGTTCGCCCAAACCAAAAACCAAGCCATCCGGCGTTCGGGTTTCAGAAACCGGCGTTCGGTTCTCGGTTATCGGCTATGGTTTTTGGCGTCCAAACCAACCAATTGGTTTTAAACTTTTTATGATTGGCTTTTACTCCTTGGCATGTTTAAACGGTTCTCCAACAAAAACACCTTGAAAACCATCTTTCGCTTTTGGTCGTTTGACAAAAATCATTCAAAACGGCATAAACTTGGCTAGCCGTGTTTTTCACTCAAATGACGTGGTTTTTAAAGTGTCTTACTTGATTTCTTAGCCAAATACATCAAATAAGTGTTTTAAACACTTGGCTTTTATTTTGGAGAACTTTGAATTTTTTGGTCGGTTTTCGCATCGGTTGGCTAGGCCGTGGTTAAGGCAAAAACCAAGGGTTCTTGACTAACCACCCACCCAGCGATGGGAAGATCTTCCCATCGATGGGAAGATCTTCCCATCGATGGGTAAGCGGTCCCTTAGCCAAACCAATTTCCAGAACCATGCCAAACAGCGATGGGAAGTTCTACCCATCGCTGTTCAAGCCTTGGTGCAAAATTACCACAAGGCAGAACGACCTTGCCCAGCGATGGGAAGCCCATCCCATCGATGGGAACCCAGCGATCGTAAGGGTATACCATCGATGGGAAGGCATGACCGTTGGTGGTCATTAAAGGTTGATTCTTTCCTTGTTTGGAAGTCAACCTCCCAACCAGCGATGGGAAGCTTGTACCCATCGATGGGTAGGTGACCGTTGACTTCAAATCTGAAGGAAAATTGCCTTACCAGCGATGGGCAAGTCCTAAACATCGATGGGAAGCCAATATTCTGCAGATCCCAAATCTTTTCAATCCCATAAATCAAGCTAATCACCCCTTTAATGCATTGGTCCGTTGGAGCCTAATTCTGCACTATAAAAAGGGGTGTTTGGGTCTACTTTTCTCACCAATTCACTTCACAACATCTATACTCTCATTGCATTCAAATATCATCATTTTCCATAGCTTTCTAGAGCCATTTGTGTGTGAAAGTTGAGTTGTTCTTGAGCGTACTTAGTTTACTCAAAATCTATTCTATAAGAGAGTCTCGTTCTTGAGTGTATTTGTGTTCTTAGACACGTTGAGAGATAGTATCTCTCTCGGTTGATTCAAAGGAAGGTCTGTTTCCTTTGAAGGATTCGTTGAGGTTCGTGTGACTCGAACTCTCAAGTTGTAACGGTTTGTTAAGCACCCGTAAGCTTAACGAGATAGTAATGTAGCTCAAGAGAGTCACTCGGGAGGCTGGATTAGCCACAAGTTGTGGTGAACCAGGGTAAAAATTCGGTGTGCCTTTTACTCTTCTCTTTACTTCTCTTTTAATTTTTTAATTCCTGTGATTTCTCCGATCAAACGCTATTCACCCCCCCTCTAGCGTTGGTCACTTATTCTAACAATTGGTATCAAAGCCTAACTCGCGTCCAAACTTAACCGTTTGAGAGTAAAGCAATCATGGGTTCTTCTTCTAGAAATCTTTATGCAAGAATTGGAGAAGGTCAATCAACCTCGAGGCCACCGCTCTTTGATGGCACTAACTACACATACTGGAAAGAGCGGATGAGAATTTATATCCGCTCAACCAACTTTCAGTTGTGGTTGGTCATCAAGAATGGCGAGGAAACTCCAATGAAGAAGGTCGATGAAAAACTCGTCCCAAAGACCGAGGACGAATTTGATGTCGAAGACATCAAAAAGGTGGAGAACTACGCCAAGGCTATCAATATGTTGTACTGTGCCGTCAATCCTGATGATTATCGTAAGATTTCTTGCTGCACCACTGCCAAAGAAATGTGGGACAAGCTAGAGGTCACATATGAAGGTACGGACCAAGTGCGGGAAGCCAAAATTGACTACCTAACGCAGGAGTACGAGATGTTCAGGATGAAGGAAGGAGAAAAGATCGATGACATGTTCGATCAGTTTTCAAAAATCATCAACGACCTTCACGCTCTCAAGAAGACGTACACCAACAGGGATCTCGTGAGGAAAATCCTGCGAAGCCTCACACCCGAATGGAGATCAAAGGCAGACGCAATCTATGAATCCATCGGAGTCTCAAATGTCACCATCGACGGGCTAAGAGGTAATCTCAAAACTTATGAATCTACTATCCNATGACATGTTCGATCGGTTTTCAAAAATCATCAACGACCTTCACGCTCTCAAGAAGACGTACACCAACAGGGATCTCGTGAGGAAAATCCTGCGAAGCCTCACACCCGAATGGAGATCAAAGGCAGACGCAATCTATGAATCCATCGGAGTCTCAAATGTCACCATCGACGGGCTAAGAGGTAATCTCAAAACTTATGAATCTACTATCCTAACCCCGTCTTTGGATGAACAAAAGAAGAAAGGTATAGCGCTGAAAGCAACCAAGGAGTCCGTGGAAGATGGTTCAAGCGATGATGACAACGAGTTCGGACTCGTCATCAAGAAGTTCCACAAATTCATGAAGAAAGAATTTGAAAGAAAAGGAAGAAAGCACGACGGGCCCCCGAAGTGCTATGGATGTGGTGAGATAGGCCACATCAAGCTGAGGTGTCCAAAAAGCAAAGGCGGCAAGGACAAACCTGGCTTCAAAAAGCAACGCGCCTACATCTCTTGGGGAGGCGACTCCGGGGATGAGTCAACGGATCAGGAAGAGGAGGAAGCCGCCAACCTCTGCCTCATGGCGCACGAAGATCAAACTGACAACATTCAAGAGGTATGTACCATTTCTTCCGACTCTTATACTTTTGAAGAAATGCAAGAAGCACTTCATGAGCTTTATGATGAATTTGTTAGCGCTTCTAAAACCAACAAATCTTTAAAGAAACGCCTTTCAACTCTTGAAAATGATTTTGCCAAATTGGAAAAAGATAATGAAAGGTTAAAACAAGAAAATAAATTTTATGGTAAGAGAAGTGCTGACAAACCAGAAAGTTCTTCAAGTGAATGTGAATCTTGCAAAACTTTAAAAGAAAAAGTTGCAAAACTAGAGAGTACGGTTAAGAAGTTTAATACACCACACAAAGATCTTAATTTACTTCTAGACACTATGCATTTTTCTAAGGAAGGAATAGGTTTTGATAAAAATGAATCTAAGGATAAAAACTTTGAGCAAACACCTAGAAAACCTCCTAAGGCTCAACATAAGAAAGTTAAAAATCAGGATAATAGAAAACCTAGTCAACCTAGGGACACTAGACAACCTAGACAAAAACCTAGGAATGAAAATGCGCATGATAGACAACCTAGGAAAAGTTATCAAAATGGTTCTATGCATGAAAATAATTTTTCAAATAGACAAAATAATTCTAGAACACCTAGAAGGGAAAATTTTCAAAAACCAAGATTTTCTCAAAACAGGATGAATATGGTTAGGCCCCTTAGCAACTACTACCAACCTAGGAGGATGCATAACCCAAACGTAGTTTGTCACTATTGCAATAGGGTAGGACATATAGCTCCCGTTTGCTTTACTAGGCATAGGCATTGGGCACAAAATGAATCACACTACCACTTTGCACCTAACACTCAAGGACCCAAAAAGACTTGGGTACCTAAATCTTATTAAATCATCTTTGTAGGTATGCTTGAAGGCATCAAGCGTACTTTGGTACCTTGATAGCGGATGTTCCAAGCACATGACCGGAGATGCATCCAAGTTCCTACAAATCAAACCCGCTAAAGGAGGAAACGTAGTATTTGGAGACAATAGCAAAGGAAAAATAATTGGGGTCGGCTCAGTAGGTAAGTCCGAAGACTCGTCTATAGATAATGTCTTGCTTGTTAAAGGTCTTAAACACAATCTCTTGAGCATAAGTCAATTATGTGACAAGGGAAACCGTGTGACCTTCGATTCAAAATCATGCACTGTAGAACGCCTTAGTGACATTAAGGTCATTCTACGTGGTGATAGAATCGATGACATTTATATGGTTAACTTAGACAAATCTCCTTCCGGCTTTGCTAAGTGCCTCATGAGTAAAGAGGAAGACACTTGGCTATGGCACCGAAGGGTAGCTCATATGAACATGAACCTTTTGAACAAATTGGTTTCACAAGACTTAGTAATTGGCATCCCAAAACTTAAGTTTGAAAAAGACACCATATGTGATGCATGTCAAAAGGGGAAGCAAGTTCGGGCTTCGTTTAAGTCTAAAAACGTTGTTTCAACGTCTAGACCGCTTCAACTTTTGCACATGGATCTCTTTGGTCCTTCTAGAACGAAAAGTTTTGGTGGCAATTACTTTGCGTTTGTGATTGTCGATGACTACTCTAGGTTTACATGGACCTTGTTTCTAACTCATAAAAGTGAGGCATTTCATGTTTTCAAAAATTTCTTAAAGAAAGTTCAAAATGAAAAAGA